ATTATAATTACTAAAAATAGCATTCAAAGGGACTTAATTGTGGAAAAGAAAGTTGTTTCTAAAGAAATTGTGGTATCAATAAGAGTCTCACAGTATGAATCACTGTAAAAATCGATTTAAGGCTCAAGGGGATATAGTCATTTAATTCTCTACTCTTACTGATTACTTCCCCTCATTTATTTCTAAAAAATATTATTCAAATGTGTATGAAAAAATTCTGACAAAATTTATTACTGACCTGAGTAAAAGCATTATTTAATAACACATTTTTGAGGGGAATTTCCCAGGTTCTAGGCCCTTTTTCCTCAAGGGTTTACCAGGTTAAAAAAATGTAATATTGGACATGTAAAGTTAACTGCAAACATAAACTTTACACGTACCCTGTATACACTCAGCATGAAATTCATTCACAATATATATATATATATATATATATATATATATATATATATATATATATATATATATATATATATATATATATATATATATATATATATATATATATATATATATATGTGCATATGTGAAATTTTCTATGCATATAAGTGTTAAAGGTATTTGCCGGTGCTGCTGTTGCTGATAGGGTGCAGCTTAAAAGATTTACACTAAATGACTCAAAGAGCACATTTTGGGATGCAAATCCAAGATGGCATGTTAAACTGTATAAATTAGTTACATTAGGACATGTATTGGTTAGGATGTAACCTGCTGTCTTATTTGGGTGGGGTCTGATCAGTTTTGTAGGAACTCTGGTCTATACAGACACAATGAATACAACTCCAAGTTAACAATGTTTTGCTGAGTCATAACCCAAAATTAGAAAACTCCATGTTGGCTATGTTATAAAGGCATTCCTATTCTCTTTTACTAGTACACAACAGGAGCTAAGTTCCTAGGACATTCCGACTCTCTTTTACTAGTACACAACATGAGCTAAGTTCCTGGGACATTCCAACTCTCTTTTACTGGTTCACAACCACAACACGAGCCAAGTTCCTAGGACATTCTGACTCTCTTTTACTGGTACACAATCCGAGCTAAGTTCCTGGGACATTCTGACTCTCTTTTACTGGTACACAACATGAGCTAAGTTCCTGGGACATTCCGACTCTCTTTTACTGGTACACAATACGAGCTAAGTTCCTGGGACATTCTGACTGTCTTTTACTGGTACACGAGCTAAGTTCCTAGGACATTCTGACTCTCTTTTACTGGTACACAACACAAGTTAAGTTCCTAGGACATTCTGACTGTCTTTTACTGGTACACAATACGAGCTAAGTTCCTAGGACATTCCGACTCTCTTTTACTGGTACACAATACGAGCTAAGTTCCTAGGGCATTCCGACTCTCTTTTACTGGTACACAACACGAGCTAAGTTCCTAGGGCATTCCGACTCTCTTTTACTGGTACACAACATGAGCTAAGTTCCTGGGACATTCCGACTCTCTTTTACTGGTACACAATACGAGCTAAGTTCCTGGGACATTCTGACTGTCTTTTACTGGTACACGAGCTAAGTTCCTAGGACATTCTGACTCTCTTTTACTGGTACACAACACAAGTTAAGTTCCTAGGACATTCTGACTGTCTTTTACTGGTACACAATACGAGCTAAGTTCCTAGGACATTCCGACTCTCTTTTACTGGTACACAATACGAGATAAGTTCCTAGGGCATTCCGACTCTCTTTTACTGGTACACAACACGAGCTAAGTTCCTAGGGCATTCCGACTCTCTTTTACTGGTACACAACACGAGCTAAGTTCCTAGGACATTCCGACTCTCTTTTACTGGTACACAATACGAGCTAAGTTCCTAGGACATTCCGACTCTCTTTTACTGGTACACAATACGAGCTAAGTTCCTAGGACATTCTGACTCTCTTTTACTGGTACACAACACAAGCTAAGTTCCTAGGACATTCCGACTCTCTTTTACTGGTACACAATACGAGCTAAGTTCCTAGGACATTCCGACTCTCTTTTACTGGTACACAATATGAGCTAAGTTCCTAGGACATTCCGACTCTCTTTTACTGGTACACAATACGAGCTAAGTTCCTAGGACATTCCGACTCTCTTTTACTGGTACACAACACGAGCTAAGTTCCTAGGACATTCCGACTCTCTTTTACTGGTACACAATACGAGCTAAGTTCCTAGGACATTCTGACTCTCTTTTACTGGTACACAACACAAGCTAAGTTCCTAGGACATTCCGACTCTCTTTTACTGGTACACAACACAAGCTAAGTTCCTAGGACATTCCGACTCTCTTTTACTGGTACACAACACAAGCTAAGTTTCTAGGACATTCCGACTCTCTTTTACTGGTACACAACACGAGTTTAGTTCCTAGGACATTCCGACTCTCTTTTACTGGTACACAACACGAGCTAAGTTCCTAGGACATTCCGACTCTCTTTTACTGGTACACAATACGAGCTAAGTTCCTAGGACATTCCGACTGTCTTTTACTGGTACACAACACGAGCTAAGTTCCTAGGACATTCTGACTCTCTTTTACTGGTACACAAGTTAAGTTCCTAGGACATTCTGACTGTCTTTTACTGGTACACAATACGAGCTAAGTTCCTAGGACATTCCGACTCTCTTTTACTGGTACACAATACGAGCTAAGTTCCTAGGACATTCCGACTCTCTTTTACTGGTACACAACACGAGCTAAGTTCCTAGGACATTCCGACTCTCTTTTACTGGTACACAAGTTAAGTTCCTAGGACATTCTGACTGTCTTTTACTGGTACACAATACGAGCTAAGTTCCTAGGACATTCCGACTCTCTTTTACTGGTACACAATACGAGCTAAGTTCCTAGGACATTCTCTCTTTTACTGGTACACAATACGAGCTAAGTTCCTAGGACATTCCGACTCTCTTTTACTGGTACACAACACGAGCTAAGTTCCTAGGACATTCCGACTCTCTTTTACTGGTACACAACACGAGTTAAGTTCCTAGGACATTCCGACTCTCTTTTACTGGTACACAACACGAGCTAAGTTCCTAGGACATTCCGACTCTCTTTTACTGGTACACAATACGAGCTAAGTTCCTAGGACATTCCGACTGTCTTTTACTGGTACACAACACGAGCTAAGTTCCTAGGACATTCTGACTCTCTTTTACTGGTACACAAGTTAAGTTCCTAGGACATTCTGACTGTCTTTTACTGGTACACAATACGAGCTAAGTTCCTAGGACATTCCGACTCTCTTTTACTGGTACACAATACGAGCTAAGTTCCTAGGACATTCTGACTCTCTTTTACTGGTACACAACACAAGCTAAGTTCCTAGGACATTCCGACTCTCTTTTACTGGTACACAACACAAGCTAAGTTCCTAGGACATTCCGACTCTCTTTTACTGGTACACAACACGAGCTAAGTTCCTAGGACATTCCGACTCTCTTTTACTGGTACACAACACGAGTTAAGTTCCTAGGACATTCCGACTCTCTTTTACTGGTACACAACACAAGCTAAGTTTCTAGGACATTCCGACTCTCTTTTACTGGTACACAACACGAGTTTAGTTCCTAGGACATTCCGATTCTCTTTTACTGGTACACAACACGAGCTAAGTTCCTAGGACATTCCGACTCTCTTTTACTGGTACACAATACGAGCTAAGTTCCTAGGACATTCCGACTGTCTTTTACTGGTACACAACACGAGCTAAGTTCCTAGGACATTCTGACTCTCTTTTACTGGTACACAAGTTAAGTTCCTAGGACATTCTGACTGTCTTTTACTGGTACACAATACGAGCTAAGTTCCTAGGACATTCCGACTCTCTTTTACTGGTACACAACACGAGCTAAGTTCCTAGGACATTCCGACTCTCTTTTACTGGTACACAAGTTAAGTTCCTAGGACATTCTGACTGTCTTTTACTGGTACACAATACGAGCTAAGTTCCTAGGACATTCCGACTCTCTTTTACTGGTACACAATACGAGCTAAGTTCCTAGGACATTCCGACTCTCTTTTACTGGTACACAATACGAGCTAAGTTCCTAGGACATTCTCTCTTTTACTGGTACACAATACGAGCTAAGTTCCTAGGACATTCCGACTCTCTTTTACTGGTACACAACACGAGTTAAGTTCCTAGGACATTCCGACTCTCTTTTACTGGTACGCAACACAAGCTAAGTTCCTAGGACATTCCGACTCTCTTTTACTGGTACACAACACGAGTTAAGTTCCTAGGACATTACGACTCTCTTTTACTGGTACACAATACGAGCTAAGTTCCTAGGACATTCCGACTCTCTTTTACTGGTACACAATACGAGCTAAGTTCCTAGGACATTCCGACTCTCTTTTACTGGTACACAATACGAGCTAAGTTCCTAGGACATTCCGACTCTCTTTTACTGGTACACAATACGAGCTAAGTTCCTAGGACATTCCGACTCTCTTTTACTGGTACACAACACAAGTGAATTTCCAGGTTATTTCTACTCTTTTCTGTTGGCTAATATTACAAGTTAAGTTTCCCAGACATACCTAGTCTCTTATGCTGGGACAATATAGAAAGAAATAAAACTCTATGTTATCTTTGGTTCCAGGGCATTCCTATTCTCTTCTGTTAGATCAAAACACAAAGAAATAAAACTTCACTTATCTTCTGTCCCAGTACATTCTTATTCTCAACTGCTGGGTCACAATACAAGATTCAAAAGCCCAATATTCTCTCCCACTAGGTCACAATAAAACTGAATACAAACTAACCACTGTGCTAAGTTAGTAGTATTATTTCTATCACTGTGATTTTGCTAAAGAGCTGAATTGCCCCTCTCTCAAATCAAACTGACATTAAATTTACTCATAATCCAAAACAAAATATTCTCCCCAATGCGAGGCAAGACATCAGCTACATGCCAGTTAGGCTGCAAGTGATAATGAGCCAGGAGAAAAAAAAAGTTTTTTATATGGTAAATGTTTGTCAGTTGTGGATAAGCAATCAGGAATGTGTGTGAGAAATGATGAGCCAGCTAATGACAAAGTAGAACAGGCACAGCGGGTACATGGCCAGGACTTTTCTTCCAGTGGGCTGGCTCTCTGCCAGGAAAGCTGTAGAAGCTGCGGGAAAGAAAGGCAGTGGTAAGGTAAAATTTTAGATAGATAAATTCAATTAAATGTCTACATCAAAACACTGATATAACAGAGGTTAGTAAATGAATTTAACACATTCATGGTCCTTGAGTCCAGTCAGACCCTGACATTGTCTTAAAAAAATGACCTTGGCTCTCAGGTTGACCCAGCCTTAAAACAGTACCATGTAAAGTATCTGGAAAGTAAAGGCAGCCGGCATGTCGCTGACCACATCACCCCCCAAATTCCGATTGTCTATAAAATATCAGTCTAGTCCTACATGTCCAATATGCCTATATTGTCAACATAGAAGCATGTTGTAGGTAAGAGAAACTTAGATATATTCTGACTGTTAATGTATTAATGCAGGGATGTGAAAACCAGAGAATGATATGCGAAAAAGATTTCTAGCCATCAGAGCAAAGTGACAAACATAGCACTTGGAGATATGAGAGAAAACTAGACATCTGGAACATGAAGGCAGAGATGTCTGAAAGGAAGATTTATGCATTGTTACATTTGCAATATGTGGAATAAAAAACCAGAATACACACTACAACCTGATCTCAGATTGAGTGTACCAGTATCTACAAGTGACCCGCAGTGGAAAGATGGACCCTGGAACAGAGTTTGAACCCACTGGCTGATTGCCTCAATGTCATTGACTTTTATCCCTCGTGTGGGTTCCGGGGCCCCATTGTGGGAAAAACAAGAATAGACCCACTGCCTCCCCAAAAGCATGTCGTAAGAGTCGACTAATTGGGGAGCTTCCTTTGAAGTCGGAGTGCATCTGCCGGAGAGGCAAGGAACCAACAGTCTGTATTCAAGAGAATGAGATCTGTAAAATTGATGCACACGCAACACTCAGGTTCTGGAGCAGGACTGCAGTTCAGTAGTGGACGAGCAACCAGAACTGTCCGCCAGAGTGTACAGCTGGTGAACGCGAAGAAGAAGAACTTTTATGGCTTCTGCTCTATGTGTAAATCTTCCAGTCTGATTTAAGAGAGTAAAACTCAGAACCTGAACCTGTTGACTGAGTGTCTGAATGACAGTAACTGCCTGCTTATGATGTTGAAATGTATCCAGTGACCCAGACGTTCATTCATCTGCCTATAACGGGAGTACTCTGGAATTTCAACTGAAGAAAGTCTTGATGTGGGCCAGATTAACAAGATCTGTTATTTGTTATAATTATAGCAGCAAACTTGTCATGCTCTTGATCGAATGTTTTCTGTGTCCTGTAGGCTTGTGAACCGTACTGCCCTGGCACTGCATTTGATTTCAAGTTCTGGTTATAGTTTATGATTATTATATGTTGCTTCAGTATGATCAATAAATGTTGAAATAACTTCATTCTTATTATTTTATCTATAAGTATGTACTGTGGTTTTACAAGAACGTTTCATATATTTTACTGCGAAACACAGTTGATGGCTATATAAACTGTGGGAGAGTCTTGAATTAGATATTTCCCTGGTGTCCACATTTTCTATTTCAGTGGATCCCACCTACCATAAAGTTCCCATAATAGGAATTGCTGTCTGCTTAGGTGATATTATCGTGGGACAAAACCCTTAGATAAAAATATAGCCACTTCTGCAGTTTTTTGGCATTACTGAGTTAAGGAGTGATGGTTTTTTTAAATAAGTCTATCCCTCTCCTATTGAGACAGACAGTCTTTTAACAACGAGAATAAAAACTCCTACCAATTCTGGGGACTGAACGCTTGGTTTATCTCAGCAGATAAGCGCACTTAACAATCAGGTCAGTTTTATTGGCATGCAGAAGCCACAATATGACTGGTTTCCATGGCCAAGCCATTTGCTTCACGCTCTGAAAGTCATGGGTTTGTTTCACAGATATGTCACTCAGGTCAATACTGCAGTTTTAACACAGATCTCTGTAGACTGTCGCTGAGCTCATTCATGTGCGGACAGAGATCGAACAAGATAAGATAACCAGATGCAATGAAATTAATCCTCTGAAATGTAATTTTAAACAACAACATGTCATTCAATAATAAAAGGTGACTTCAAATGATAACTTTAAAAGTTTGATAGAATACAATAACCCTGCCACTGTTTTGTCACCTGCTAATATTGGTGTAAGGGATTTTAAAAGTTCTCCTCTTTGGTGCATGTCCAAAGTGGCGTGGCCATCTTTAAACTGTCATTAAGTCACTGTGTTTATCTGCACTGTAACACCTTGTTCTTTACACTCTTGACATCCTTAACAATACTGACATGTTACAAGATAATGGCATGGTTATTGTAATTTCTATAACACTTGAACGTTTTTCATTTAAAGACCCCTCAAAGAATCACATTCTAGTTCAGAAATCAACAACTGTATGTGATAAGAAAGTGATTTACACACAGCGTTTCAAATCCTGCAAAACTTACCAAAAGTGGACCAGCCAAAGCCTAGCACCACAAAAACAAACCGGACAGCAAACAGAGCAATCGACTGAGTGTCCACAGCCAGCAGGATGCGGCAGATGATCAGGGCAATGGCTAGTGGGCAGACACAGTAGCCCAGAACACATATGCTTTGGAAGAATGAGCTGTAAAATAAAGTTTTTCTAATTTAATTAGCATTTACTAAATTAAGTCACTATTAATTACTCTGAATGACCATAATATCTGCAGCATGTATCTCATTCAGATTCAAAGATTCACAGCCATATAGCAGCACGGGGTCAACCTAACATTTCAGTACTTATTTTTAGATATTTAACGGGAGAGAGACTTGTTGCCTAAAATATTGTTCTTTTTTTGAAATGCCACCTTTGCCTGGCATATCCTGTCATTTATCTGTTACACATCTTCCGAAAGATGTTATAACTGTTCCCAAAGATTTTAACTTACTGACACACACTTTGCCTTCTATTGTTATATCACATTTCCGTGTTTGTTTCTTCATGAGTGAGTTAAGCTGATTCAAGAACCGACATGACAGCATTTGGGACATTTCCAGAAGTGCTCCATTCCCCACCCTCAGCAGACAGCACAAAGTTCCAATACCAATGGTCCCAGTAGGGGTCTGATTATGTCCGTCTTGCTTTTTCTCTAAACATTGAGTAGCGGCCAAATCCCCTCGTCACTGCTTGTTGCATTTTCTTAGTTATAACCGTTGTTTCTGTCTGTCTTATATTTAAGGAGAGTGAATGGCAAACTACTCAAAGTAAACATTTCTTGGTAAAGATATACAACAGCCAATCAATGTTGGGGTTGGTCTGCGATGTCTTCTAAAGGACATGCAGTTAACGGTACTACTCACAAAAGTCACCCCACTTCGTAGGCCGCAAGATTTTGTAGCGGTTCCCATGGCCTGTGATATGTTCAATTGTATTACGAGACATCTTCCTTCACCATTGATAGACAAAAATGGCTTGGGTTCATTCGACGAGGTCGACACACCGTCTACCAGAGGAAAGTGTGCAGTTTTCCTTTCGCAGGTGTCTTTTGTGTGAACGACTGTTGCTTCTGTAATGTGTTGTTGTTATGAGTAGGTCTCAGGTGCTGAAGGCGCCTGTATGCAAGGAAGAAGTACTGCAGGTTCGTGAGCATCGAATCATTAATGTTTTTTTTTAATGCTCGCTGGTGGTGGCTGTCATTGGTGGTGGATGTGTTTAAAACATTAAAAACCAAGAACGCATGACACCTCTAGTCTATAGGAGTGTTCCGGGAAATCCCCTATAAAATCTTGTGGTCGACGAGCTGGGGTAACTTTCATGAGCTGTCTTGATTAACTTTGATTACTTCACAGGTTAAATAATCTTCTGAAGATACTGAAGGTTGTCGGAGGAGGCAGCTCCGCCTGATCCCTATAACAGTTTGAAACCATCTCCATATTACAGGGCTCATTACAGGGTACAAGGGAAGAGGAGAAGAGGCAGCCAAGAAAACCGGAATTCAAAATTTGGCAGACCAGACAGTTCTCAAATACAATGAAAGCATCAAGTTCAGTGCACCTAACCGGACAGTCTAATGTCCTCCCACTTCCATGAGTACAAAACTACTTGTCAGATCTACTTCATTTATACATTGTAGCAATGCACACAGTTGCAACTGTATTGTCACTAGTGATGAAAATTCTTCACTTTCTCTGTTCTATATTATTAATTTGTGTGTCTGTCTGTTATTACCAAAGTTCTGGAACCTATTGATAGTACCATTTTCCTTTGCTACTGCATTCTGGGAGGACTTTGTACACTCTGGTTCTCCTATAAAACTACATCTGCAAACCCAGCAGGTTCTTCAGAGGCTCAATTCCCTCAATGCAGCTCACCTGGCATTTCTGGTTATGGCCTGTCATCGAAAAGCCAAGTTATCGGCTCTGAGGTCTGCCTGCCCCTGCACAGTGTTTAGGAGGCCCAGTTGGGGGTATATTTACTAAAACAAATAGCATTGGGGGGAGGGGGGGGGGGGGGAGTTCCTTGTGAAAAAAGAGACTTTTTAAAAGCTATTGTGAGATCATAATGTGTCTAGTCATGGTGTTAGCATTGCAACAAGGTCAAGGGTTATGGTATGAGTCATTCAATAGTTTTGAGGTCCATAAGAAGGCAATTCATTTAATGCTTCACTCTGTTCACGTTTACTGATTACTTCATTTATACATTTCAAAACACTTTTATAAAATATAGATAAATACATTTTGAGTGGCCTGTGTAAAACGCTTGTATTTCAAAGGATTTTTATTCCCTAATGGAGTATAGGCCCTCAACCATCTGAAGCCAAGCAGTCGTACCCTGTGCTCCCTCAGCATTCACCAGTTTTTGTTTACTTCCCTCTCCAGTTCTCTTCACCACGTCTTTTGGGTCTGCCCTTGATCCTGTGGTTCCAGTGCAAGGAATGTCTAGCTGTAATCAGATACTGTTGATGTATCATAGTTGGCTTTTACAGCCACTGTTTTATAAATTTAGGTAGGCAGCCCCAAGCCTACCTTTAGATGCCTCTTAGGACATGCCTTGCAGGATGCAGAGTTTCTTCTATTTTCTTTGCCCTTAAAATGGGGGCTGGCAGCTTATAATGTAATTTACAGCCCTTCTTCTTCTTCTGCCTTCTATCCCCCATTGGAGCATAGGTCCTCAACCAACCCACGGGAGTCGTTCTATCCTTTGCTATCATAGGCAGCCCTCCCCATGTCCTCCATATCTTTTTAACTTCACTCCCTAACTCCCTTCTCCATGTGTTTTTTTGGGCTGCCTTTATTTCTATGTGACTGTGGGTTTCAGTGCAAAGACATTCTAGTCATAGTGTTCTCAGTGCAAAGATATTCTAGTCATATTGTTCTCAGTGCAAAGATATTCTAATCATATTGTTCTCAGTGCAAAGATATTCTAATCATAGTGTTCTCAGTGCAAAGATATTCTAATCATAGTGTTCTCAGTGCAAAGATATTCTAATCATAGTGTTCTCAGTGCAAAGATATTCTAATCATAGTGTTCTCAGTGCAGAGATATTCTAGTCATAGTGTTCTCAGATTTTCTCAAAGTGTGTCCTATACAATGCCAACATGTTTCCTTCACCTCCTGTCCCACTGGAACTTGTGTAGTTCTCTCCCAAAGCTCAACATTAGCGAATCTGTCACACGATTTAATTCCCTCCATTCTGCACAGGCACCAGTTAATGAAGGTTTGTAGTTTGTTAGTAATTGTTTTAGTTGTTCTCCATGTTTCCGCTCCATACAGCAGTACTGATTTGACATTAGAATTAGAGCTAGGCAGAAACATCAGTGTCTTTCAGCTCAATACATCAAATTTCAGCAACATGCTTGATCTGCTTTCGCTTTCGAATGCTTATCAAAGGGCAGTGGGTTCATTCTTTATTCCCCCCCCCCCCCCCTCCCCAAGTTGCCCTCAAGGACCCTGCACATGAGACTATTCTTTGCTTCCCGAAGGGCCTGTGAACACAAAGCAGCATTCTAAATACATCAGCAACGAAACATCAGCTTACATATTGCCACCCAATAACTTGATATTCAATGTAACAACAACAGCTCCCAGCCAGTAGATAACAAAGACTTCAGCAAACTGCGGGCCACCATCATTCTCCCCCATCATGTTGAGTTCATCAGTCGACCCCTGTAACATGCTGAGACCAGCAAGCATTTACGATGTACAATCATTTACTTCTTAATGAAGACTACAGTCCAAAATAAAATTGATTAACAATACATTACCATAAATTAAAGGTAAGTGGATCCGCATCAGCGGTCCAGTGTGATCACATGCTCCGGACTGCAGAACCTGTCATTCCGCAAATTATTTTTCTATGCATTTTGATTTAGAGAGGAGAATATGCTCCTGCATATAACCTAACTCAAGGTCATTCAGAACAAAGCTATTTAATTTCCCTGGACTGCAGCTGATATCAAACACACAGACTTTTGCCCAGAGGTAAATCGTTAAGGATCAGATACCACTGACTAGAAACACTTAGTGGCACCAATGAAGTGGAAAGCTCAGACATAGTGACTGAAGGTGTTGGTTGTAGAGTTGTCAGATAATTATCCCCTAGCCAGACCTTTAGGAGGAGATAACTCAGGCTAACTGTGGTTATTTCCCTCTGAGATTACCCAAATTTAGCACAGATCGGATAGCTAGTATTGACACTGATCTGAGGGAGGTATTAGCAGACACAACCCGGCAGGCTAAAGATGGGGAGAAGGGTGACTTTTCTTATGAGCTCTGGCTAGCTTGAAAGACCGTGCGAATGTAACCCCGTTTGGCAAACACATGTTTGTGCCTTCTGGACTGACAGGCATTTAGTGATAGCACTGTCCCCCAGAGCGGAGTTTTGGCATCCCTGGAATGAGAGAGGTTAAGCAGGAGAAATAGGAGGAGCTTAGAAGGTTATAAAAGTTAAGCAGGAGAAATAGGAGGAGCTTAGAAGGTTATAAAAGTGTGGGCATAGGGCTTAAAACTGTCAATCATTTACTTTTTTAATGAAGACTACAGTAAAAAATAAAATTAATTCACAAGACATTACCATAAATTAAAGGCAAGAGGACTGGCATCAGTGGTCCAGTATGGCCTGAGTCTCTTGCTACAGAATGACCAGATGCCCACAACAGTTTTGCATAGAGCATGAATTCCTTAGCTTTAGCAACAACCCAATCTCTGAAAAAGCTGCACTTGCTGACCAAAAGACAAGAGTCCAAAAGTGAACCCATAAAATTCAGAGCATGAGGCAAACAGCTTCATTACTTCACCATGAAGACCCCTATTCTAAAGTTTCTCTACTATTCGGTTTTCTAAACTCAGCCTAAAGCTTATTTGCAATAAAATATTCAAAATTCAGTCTAACGTTTCTTTTCTTTACCGTTTTTCAAATTAAGCCTAAAGTTTCTTTATTACAGGGTTTTTTCAATCTCATCTTAAGTTTATTAGCAATGAAGTATTTCAATTTCATTCTAAAGTTTCATTACTGATTTTAAACTTGGAAGCATCTGCGGTGTAGCTGCTAGCCATTTGCCTGTGGATCTGTAGGTCAATGGTTCAGGCTCTGATGGAGCTCGACTTGTTCCAAAAATGACTTTGTCTCCCAGGTTGACCCAGCTTTAAACTGGTACCAGATAAAGTAGTGGGAAATATAAGTCGCCGGCATAATGCTGACCACTATACCCAAGTGCCAATTGGTCTATAAAATATAGGTCTAGCCCTATATGCTTATAATGCCTGAAGGTGTAGAAAAGGGTCCTTTACATCACTTACTATTTCAAACTCAGCCTCAAGTTTCTTTACGAAGTTTCCAGTTCTTTACTATGGAGTTTTCAAACTTGTCACCCCAGCATAAATCAGGCTTTCAGCTCATATTAGCACTACCACCGCATCAAACACACCCTTACATGCTCCGATTTCCTCATGCAGTTGATCTATCAGCATAGAGCAGCTAAATGAGCTCATTTGGTATTGATTGAAAAGCTCCAGCACTTTTTGCGCTGCTCCTTCCAAGCCATGTGAATCTTCAGTCTGCATGTCTGCATCGTGGCTACTGATGCTGATACAACTTTTAGGGCTGCCCACAAGTAAAGGACCCTTTTCGTGAGTGCGGTGCACTGGAAATATGATTTCGGGCGGATATTTTTACAGATCAATCCTTGATGGGTGATGTCAAATCATACTGACAGTCAACTTCCCATGACATTAGGTAAAGTACAGGACCCTGTGACAGAGTGACAGGCATAATTTCAGAGGTCCCGGGTAGTTAGCGTCCTTTGGATATTTTCTCCAGGTCATACTGGTGTGTTGGGAAATGAGGAGGCAGATAGACTGGCTGGTTCTGTATTACTTGGTGGTGAACTGATGTATGACAAGCTACAAGTTGTGAGGGCACTTTGGGAGTAAGTGAACAGGGAAGATTATGGTATGAGGAGAAAGGCGCTGTGAGGAGTTACCAGGGGATCTGGCAGACGCTCAACACACAAGGGAAAGGTGAGATGGATGTACAGTCAGACGGTTACTAGTACCATCAGAACTGGAACTCTTCACTTGCTGATAAAGATGGGGACATAGCGCTTAAGGGAGTGTCCCCAGTGCTATGATGTCGATTCTTAATTCAACACTCAACGGGTGTATTTGACATACAGGGCTAGACCTATACTTTAAATAGCAATCGGCATCAGGTGGGTGATCTGGCTGACATCACACTAGCCACCTTTACTTCCCATGACTTTACCTAGTACCCATTTAAAGAAGGGGGCCTGGGAACAAAGGTCATTTATTTTTCAAGTCTGGCTGTCGGACCTCAACCCATCACCTTCGGGTCTGCCAATGAGGGTCTAGCTGCTACACCATATAGGCTATCTCCCATGACTTTACCTAGTTCATATATTAGGCTGTACCCATGTTTAGACTGGGTCATTCTGAGAGCCAGGGTCAATTATAAAAAAGAAAATACACTGAGATGCAGATCTGAACCCTAGATCTTTGGGTAGTCAGGTGAGCATCTAGCCAATGTGAATTCCCCCCCATTCGCCACACATTCTCATAAGAGTATTTTCTCACAAAACCACATGTCATCAGGACAGAAGTACTTACATTGCCATAAAAGTGCAGAGAACAAGGGGGCCCCATAAATCCCCTGAAACAGAGAACAATTACAAAATCAGACGAATGCACAATCAAAGTAAAGGTAACTGCAGTGGTACTTGGGGCATATGATTTTTACAGACCAATCACAGACAGATGATGTGAACATCCTGCTGACCAATTTCATGACCTGGTACCCACGTCGGGTGCGAATAATGAGAATATACCGGATACCCACATTTGAACAAATTAAGGAAACTAAAGACTGCTTCTATAGTTTCCTTAATTTGTTCAATGTAGATGTCAGGTATATTCTCATTATTTAGTAAGTGTTCTGTTTAACAGCTCTGTTAACTGTGCCCATAAGGATTCCTGAAATCATGCATTTTGATTTCTAACTTTGGTGTCTGCTTTTCCACCACTTATCTTTTTTTCTCTATTGCAGGGTCATTCAACTGGCAGACTGTGGGCCAAATCTGGCCAGTGAAGACTTAAAACGTGGCCTCCAGATCAATGCCAGCTGCATTGTATTATTGATCTTTCTTTGCTGGGTATGGGGCCTCTGGCCCGTGATGATCTCCATTTTCAAAATGTTAGCCCCTGAGTAAACAGATGAACAGCCCTGCTTTATTGGATGTTAAGAGAATAAACCAGTCCGACAGAGGTGTATAAGGTAAAGTAAAACTACAGTACTATTCTTACACCATTAACGCATCAGGCATATGGTGCTAGATCCTTATTCATATAGACCAACTAGTACTTGATGGGTCTGGTGACTGGCATTATGCCACACCCCCCCCCCCCCCCCTTTACTACCCAGGATATCTCCTGGTATACATATTAGGGTAAAGCTAAAACAGGGTTCATAGCCAAATTTACCAATCAATTTCAAGGCTTTTCAAGGTCTTTTTCAAGGTCTCCTTAGTTTTTTTCAAGGTTGTCTCGGTGTAATACTGAAACAAGATTTTTGCCTTGTTCAAGGGTGTACTGAGCACACAAGGTACTTCATTTGTGCCACATGTGTTGGTATACCAGCACAGATATCATCATCATGTAGCATTTCCTTTGTCCTGACAAAAAAAACCTCGGTCTCTCACCAGCTCTCCCGCCTCATGTACTTTTTTATACTCAAGGAGTCACTTATATCCTGTGCCCATCTTCGTGTTGGTCGGCCCCTGAGCTTGATATAGTGTTTGAAATTTTTTTTAGGGCTTGGTGGTAGAGGGCAGCAAACTGAAGTCCTGTCTGTTCTGGACCTGGTACCTGAGAGGGTTAGGGGAGAGAGAGAGAGTCATGAAGAGAGGAAGACACATGCTGAGGTAGGCTGGGAGAGACAGTGTAAAGATGGACAGATGAAGGTAGAGAAAAGAAGGAAAAGAAGTCTGGGGAAGGAGGAAAAAAATGAGAGGGAGGGATGGAGACATGATGAGGAAAAGTGGGGAAGGGACAGCGAAAGACAGAGAGGGAGACAAATACAGAAAGAGGGAATGCAGATACAGAGATGGGCAGATGAAAAGAGAAGGAAAAAGGGAACGAAACAGAGATATGGAAGGAGGAAAATATGACAAAGAGTTGAAAGAAGGGAGACAGAGGGAGAGAGAACGGACAGGGTGAGAAGCAGATGCAAGCAGAGAGAGATGTAGACATAAAAGAGAGAGAGACAAAGGGACAGCACAGAGAGGCAAGCAGACAGAGGGAGAGAACCAAAGAAAGAGAAAAAAGGCAGAACAGGAGAATGGGAGGGAGGTATACAAAGAGGAAGTGATGAAGGGAGGCAAACAGACATAAAGCAAGAGAGAGAGAGAGAGAGAGAGAGAGAGAGGTGGGTAAGGAAGGCAGTGACAAACACAGATTAAGAGAGAGGGGCAGGAAGGGAGACAAGATACATAAGAAAAAAAAAACAGCCACCTACTCCCCCCCCCCCACCCCACACAATTTCAAGTGTAGTGGGCACAACCACTAGTAAAAGAGTTATGGGGCAAAAAAATACGTAGATGAACCAGTAAAAAATGGGGGGGGGGGAAGAGAATGAGAGAGGGGAGCGGGTAAGGAAATTTAGAGAAAATGAAAAGACAGGATGGAGAGGAGACAAAGAAGAGATGGACAGGAGAAAGGGCAAGGAAAGGAAGAGAGGAAGAATGAGAGAAAGGAGAATAGTAGAAGATCAAAGGAAAGAGAAGGGGTAAGAGAAGAAAGGTAAGACACGGTTGTGGGGGGGTGGGGGGGGGTGTAAGAACAATGAGTGCCAAAAATAGAATTAGGAAATCTCTAAGTGAGGCCACTTTTCCAGTTCCTACCCTCTCCCAATGTGAATGTGGCCGTGGTCCAAAAACAACAGTGCTAACCCCTACTGCCCCTTGCTTGTCCTATCTGTGTGTGACAACAATAATTCAATTTCTTACACTTAAGGCTGGTGACCTGAGAGCCAAGGTCATTTTATGAAGAAGAAAAAAAGTCCAGGGGATCCCAACCCACCACTGGTAGAAAATAGAGAAGTTTACCCACACACATAAATAGGTCAGACACATAAATAGGTCAGGGCAGCAGTGGACTTCGTTTTATTTCTGGTTTTTCAATTACAGAAAGGAGGGGAGAGAGGTGGTGGAAAGTGGTGTAGAAGGCTGAGGTGGTAAGGGTGAGACAGGGGAGGTGAGAGAATAAAGTTTAAGAAAATAAAGTGGGAATGAGACAGGGAGAGAAAGAAGGGAGTAAGAAATAAGATGAGACATAGAGGGAAGAAGGTAGCAGGAAGGGGTGCACTCCCTCCCCTAGGTGTCATCAATGTGGGAGGAGGAAAAAAAAAAAAGGGGGGGGGGGGGGTGACGGCAAATGTGTTTTTAAAAGTACACACATATTTAATGTGTGGGAGGGGGGAATGGTGGACATGAAATGTTCTGCACTAGGCAACACATAACCTTCTACACCAACTGAAGGTATGGAGAAAGAAAGAGAAAGAAAGAGAGAGAGAGAGAGAGAGAGAGAGAGAGAGAGAGAGAGAGAGAGAGAGAGAGAGAGAGAGAGAGAGAGAGAGAGAGAGAGAGAGAGAGAGAGAGAGGGACAAATACACAGAGAAAGATAGAGAGGAAAGCAGTGACACAGACAGGCAGAGAGTGAGGAACAGGTAGGACAAAATGTGAGGGGGCGGGAAGGGAGATGGACAGAGATTAAGGCCGCTAGGAAAACAAACACATCAAAAGAAAATATCCACCATGTTCACACAGAATGCCCCCCCCCCCCCCCCCAATACAACTTCCTGTGTACTTGAGTTGCTAGGGAGAGTTATGGAGCCACACATTTACTAAACATTTAAACAAGAAATAAAATAGGAAAAAGGGGGAGGGGGGACAGGAAATGAGAGAGTCAATGGAAAGATAGAGAGAAAGAGAAGAAGATAAAGATCAGAAGGGAGCGTTAGAGACAATGCAGGAGACGGGAAGGAAGGAGCAATAGGTAGAAGAGTGAAAGAGGGAGGGAAGAGAGAGAGAGAGGGGTGAGACAACAGAAGAGGGAATCTCGGGGAATTACAATACTGATCGCCAAACACACTGTCAAGATAAATCCAGGCTAAAAATAGAACTGGGAAATCCAGCTGCAGTCACTTTGCTTAGCCCCAATGCCATCTCTAATTAATAGAGAAGGCCGTGCTTAGCCCCCACCACGGCGACTCTATTTATAAATACAACTGAACCGAGCCCCACCATCTCCCAATGTAATCCTTTCTAGAAACCATGGCCATAAACGATTTTTACTGTTCATTCTGCCCGACTTGCTAGAAACAAAGGCACACACACACGCGCGAGACGGAATCTGCTACTTCCCGCTGCTGTCTGCATGTATTCATGATCTGCAACATAGCCCGCCCTCTCCTGGCCTTTAACAAGCCATTTCGGCTGAAAATAGCCAATAATCAGCTGCCCTCACACCTGAAACGACCATACAACGAAAGTAGCCAAAAACTAGCCAAATGGCCAAAAAAGCCAAATGGCTCCCCCAAAATTGCCTGTGCTGAGAAACACAGGATTTCTGACGATTTCATTGCCGCGGTGGTCAAAATTCGCGGCTTTTCAAGGTCGGAATGTCTTTTATAAGCTAAAATTCACGGTTCAAGGTCAACGAAAAAAATCCCGGTAATTTCCCGATTTCCCGGTCCACTACGAACCCTGCTAAAAGAATCGACTTCATTACACTAGGTTTTATTTCATATGGTTCGGCCTCTCTCCGTACAATGGCTAGCTGCACTCAAAGAGTGTCGCACAAAGGACAAACACCTTAGCACGCAAGAATGAACGACACAGCCATAAAACGAACCTTCCACCTTCGAAGGGCGATGCAAATGGCTTGAGCACTTCACCACAGAGACCCCTCCCCCCAGTTTCCGCTCAACGCCCATATTTGGACAAACAAATATGTATTCATTTAAATTAAGAGACATAGGATGTCAAGTAGGAAGCTTACATTCTTTCAGCAGAAGCTTGCTTTTCTTTGGAATAAGAACATGGGCAAACTTATTACCAACAGCTTTCACATCTCGGAGCTGAAAAAAAAAAGTAAAAACTAAAAACCGATGGTTTATGAAGCATAAGGTAACTTAAATTTGAGGTCAATAAGATTTCTAAGAATAAAAATAATTTAACATACATGACTAAATTTAACTACCCCCCACCCCCCTCAAAAAAATTTACTATCTGCTCAGTTACTAAAGTAACAAGGACTCTTCTGATGACGTTCACACACTAGGGGTATATGATGCTTGACTCATTTATTTATAGATCAATGGGCAAACAGAGGATAATATAGTCAACATCTCAGGGGCAGTCTTTACTTCCCAGGGGGTTAGCTGGGGTAAAAAGAATAGAGCCACTGCTCCCTTAACAAGCAACTTGTAAAGTAAGTAAAAAGTAAAGGACCCTTTTCCACATCTTTAGGCGTATAGGGCTAGACCTATATTTTTATAGACCAACAGCACAAGATGGGTGATGTGGTCAGCATCACGCCGACCTCCTTTACTTTCCTGGGACTGCACCCAGTACCCACTCAAGGCTGGGTCGACCTGGGAGCCAAGCAACTTGTAAAGGATGATTGATTATGGGTGTTTTCTTCTAAATTGGAGTGCATTTGCCTGAAAAGTGAGGAACCAATAGTATATAAATGCAAATAAACCAGATATGTAAAACGATTGTGCACACAAACCTCAAGTTCTGGAACAAGAGCAACCATAGTTCAGAAGTGGATTAGCAACTAGAACTTTTCACCTGAGTTTACAGCCAGGGAACTCAAGAAGAAGAAGACATTATGAAGAACGAAAAGTGCAATATTGCATAAGAAACAGGCAAAGAATCAGAAAACTAATGACAGTAATGAAGAAACATTAGGAAAAAATAATAATAATAACAAAAGTAAGGATGAGACATGTCAAGAATTAACAAAGTAAAAGTAATGATAAAATGTGTAAAGAAACAATTAACAAAGTAAAAGTAATGATAAAATGTGTAAAGAAACAATTAACAAAGTAAAAGTAATGATAAAATGTGTAAAGAAACAATTAACAAAGTAAAAGTAATGATAAAATGTGTAAAGAAACAATTAACAAAGTAAAAGTAATGATAAAATGTGTAAAGAAACAACAAACTAACAAAAGTAATGATAAAATGTTTAAGGAAACAACAAACTAACAACAGTAACAATGAACAACATAAAGAATCCAACTAACAATTGTATCTTTCACAGGTTCATCTAGGGTTGAAAGTTCATCATCAGTCCTGGCAACCCCAGGAACCTCCATCTCCCCTTCCAGAGGTACCTCCACAACCTAAGATGAGAATACAACAATATATTTTTTTTAAAGAAATATGCAAAGAACACAGAATAATGGTACAACATACAACAGCTCCCCATGTTGATTACGGGGCCCCATTTGGGATGGGGGGGGGGGGTAGGGGGGGGGATAATAGAGCCACTGTAAAAGTTGACTAATTATGCGTGTTTCATTCGAAGTTAGAGTGCATCTGCCTGAGAGACAAGGAATAAACAAGCCAGATCTTGTAAAACGGATGTGCATGCAAAATTTCTGAAACAACACCAAAGTCCAGAAGTGGATGAACAACCACCAGAACTTGTCACCATGGTTTACAGTCAGTGAACATTAAGAAGAATTTTTTTTTTTTTAAGACTAATATTGTAGTGTGAGGTTCTTCTTCTGCACTTACAAAGGGTTTTCCCGATAATGGGGCCCCAGAACTCCCACAGGGAATGTCCCTCTCAAAAAGCATTTTCCCTAACTGGGAAGAACCCTTTGCTGTCTACGTATGTACTTAAAAAAATGTGTCACATGCCAACTTTTTCCTTTATGATCTCATTCACGATTTTTAGTTCATCTTTTTCAACCTCACAGCCTTTCTCAGATACACTGTCGGTTATAATGTTGTAATATAAAACTTTTAAATGAAAGGAATACCTTTGCTATTTATCAGGATCAGGTGGCAAGAAAGAGGAATGTAAATATACTTATATATCTTCTTATTAACGTTCACCGTCTGTGAACTTAACAGATCTGACTTATTTGTATGCAGATTGGTGGGTCCTTGACTGAACTCTCAGGCAACCCCACTTAGTTAACTAGTACGGCTATCCTCCAAATGATGGCCACATATTATGGCAGCTAAAAACACACCTTGACAGGGCCTCAGTCACATGTAAATTGTGGACGTCCGGCGACCTAAATTGCAGACTTCTGGCGACTATACTGCTACGAGTATCTCCCAGACTGCTATGTGCAGCTAAACTAGACAGCTGGAACTCATGAGCAGCAGCTCCCGCATCTCCTGCCGCTTCGCTCATGAGTCCCAGACTTCTAGTTTAGCCCCGCTCCGCGTGTAGCGGCAGGGGAGATAATCTCAGCGGTGGCAGTATAGTCGCCAGAAGTCCGCCATTTACATGTGACTGAGGCACTGTTTTTGGCTGCCATAATATGTGGCCGTTATTCGAAGGATAGACACTAGTACCTAGTACTAGTACTTCTAGTGTAGTAGTCGACTCTTATGACATGCTTGTTATGGAGGCAGTGGGTCTGTTTACCCCATAATAGGGTCCCAGAACCAAAACAGTGAACTTATATATAATCTATGCAATAAACAATACATAAATTAACCCCGTAGAAGATACTCAGACTATGGTGATGAGAATGGGGAATAAAAAAGTGTGACTGTAAGTAGTAAGTAATACAGCAGACTCAGTGAGTGGACGGACTCACTGCTCGACTCGGTGCTAAACTCAATTTAATTTTGTTTTGTGTCAAGCTTTTGTTGTAAAACATTTATCATATTTATAATAACGTTTTGTTCTCATTGGTTAATGCAGATAACATGTTTAAAAATAAATTTATAAACAGAACAAAAATCGAGGGAAACATATATTATACTCACTTCATGGTGAAACTCCACGTCAGCCATGTTTATTATTGTAACAGAACTAACAAACAAGTACACAAGTTAACGAAAATCAACTCAATTTGTCTATAGTTTCGGATGTTTACGTGAAAGTGCGTGGCCGTGGGAAGTTCACACGTTGACATCTCTAGCAGACCATCACATATAACCGCACAATAGCCGCTATGAGAGTTCAGCTGTTTGAAACTTTCTCTGTTTAGTTAGTTAACATAATCGCGCTGGTAAAATGGAGTATTTATCTATTTTTCATGCAAGACGGACTTTTGTATGTCTTATTTTATTAGTGTTTTTATGTGAACAGTTTCAACTTGCGAGAACACAAATCGATGAAGAAAGCGAAAATACTACTGCTACCCACCCAGGGAATGGAGTAGTCAAGGAGGATAAAGTGGATGCCACTACTACTGAATCTGAACATGATAAGGCTGTGATACTTGGGAAAATTTCGTCGTTTGAGCAGTGTATCCTTTAATAAGACGCATCGCTATGAAGAATGCTTTTAGGTAAAATGTATCCAGTTATTTTTTAAGAGGGCTAGGATGCTGCCTTTAACTATGTAAGTATATTATAAGTTTATAAATCATCTTTTAAAGTATTTGTTTACACATTGAATGAAACTAAGACGGCAGTAGAGAGAGAGAGAGAGAGAGAGAGAGAGAGAGAGAGAGAGGTCATTGTGATAAACAATTTGTACCTTTCTCAATATAGTATAACATACTGAAATCACAGGGTTTTTCTTTTTCAAAATAAACAAGGAAATTATGGGTACTCCTGTCAAATCCGGATGAAGACTAAAAAGCCTTGGACGACTTAGTCAGAGTTCCCTCCCATGGCCGCACTGCGAACAGTGATCGGAAAAGCCAACGAAACAAAGAAGACAGGCACGTCGACATCAGGGCTGCCAATGCTTGGTTGTTTCCCCCAGATCTGGTTTTTTTTGACGCTGCAGGACAATTCTGGTTTTTTTTTGGGTGTGTTGTGTTTGTTGGTTTTTGCCGATTTGTATGCTTTAATGATCGATAAATTTGCTTGGTTGGGGGTAGGGGTTAGGGCTAGGGAGTAGGATTAGGATTAGGGTTAGCGGTAGGTTTAGGTATAGCGTTAGATTTGACAATTTTGACGCCGGAGTTCCCTATAATCGCGCACAGTCCCATACACACACAAACAATCGAGGGCCTCTGGATGCTGGTCAAACGCACATTTCGCCAACGATTGGGGGCACCAGCCGCACGCTATTGGCGTCATATTTGGCAGAGTTTCAGTGGCGCCACTCCCACAAACATCAGATTGTCGGCCAGTATTTCAAAATCCTACGTCAAAATTTTCACATCTAACCCTAACCCTACCCCTAACCCCAACCCCAACCCTAACTCTACCCCTAACCCTAACCCTACCCCTAACCCTACTCATAACTCTAAACCCTAACCCTAACCCTACCCCTAACTCTAACCCTACCCCTAACTCTAACCCTACCCCTAACTCAAACCCAAACACTACGCATCCCTACACGCAACCGTATGATGACTACGCATCCCTTCACGATGCCTCACGCAACCGTACGCACCCCTGAACGCAACCGTATGATGACTACACATCCCTTCACGATGCCTCACGCAACCGTACGCAGCCCTACACGCAACCGTGTGATGATAGGTAAGTGTGTCGTTTGTTTCGTTGGCTTTTCCGATCACTGTTTGCAGTGCGGCCAAGGGAGAGAACTCTGACTAAATCGTCCAAGGCTTTTTATTCTTCGTCCGGTTTTGACAGGAGAGCCAAATTATGTTATAATCTGTCATCCTTCTTGTTAAAGAATATGATATTCTTTAGTTTTGCCAGTATATGATTCCTTTTGTTTGATTACAGAAGGTACATTTGAAGGCAAGGAATAGACTTAAAAACTTGGTGACAGATAGACAGATTATTAGAAAGAGGATAGAGGGAGAGCGAAGAGATAAATACCTTGATAACTTAGTCACATGTATAGGGGTGAGAGAAAAGCACCATCCTTGGGATGATGAAAGAAGACTGCTTATGCTTTTCATCATGGCACATGATGATGATGATGATAATCTCAGGAGGAGGGGGTGCTGGCGATTATTTTTATTTTCTTCCACTGAAAAAGGGGCGGTTGGCCAGAGTTTGGGAAACACTGATTTTAATTTTTTTTAAATAACATTCAGGTATTATTAGTGAAAAGCGTCTATGCTCTTGTTGTGCTTATATGGTCCAGATTTCATTGCCATACAGGAAAGAGTTGTGACTCCACACGATGTACATACATATATTTACATTTTGATTGATTGCAAAGAAGACTTAACAAATGCTTAGATAAAGAGCTTTTTGCTAAGAACAGAGCCACACAGTTGTCAGGGGTCAAGACCTTACTCCAGTTTGGAAATAACCAGCAGCGGTTCTCACTGGTTCAGGTTTTGCTGAAGCAGCTGTTTAAAGTGAGTATCACTGTTGTGTGGCTAGATGAGTGTGCACAAACTAACTGTTTAAGGTGAGTATCACTGTTGTGTGGCTAGATGAGTGTGCACAGCACAGACTGGCTGTTTATATCACTGTTGTGTGGCTAGATGAATGTGCACAAACTAGCTGTTTAAGGTGAGTATCACTGTTGTGTGGCTAGACGAGTGTGCACAAACTAGCTGTTTATTTATCACTGTTGTGTGACTAGATGAGTGTTCACAAACTAGCTGTTTATATCACTGTTGTGTGACTAGATGAGTGTTCACAAACTAGCTGTTTATATCACTGTTGTGTGGCTAGATGAGTGTGCACAGACTAACTGTTTAAGGTGAGTACCACTGTTATGTAATCTGGTAATCCTAGTTTCAGCTTCATAGCAAACGGGTCACCCCATAGTTGCTCCGCTCCTGTGCCAACGAAAAACATGCGTTCCAATTATGTAACTAGATAAGTGTGCACAGACTGGATCTTTATATCACTGTTGTGTAGCTAGATCCGTATGCACAGACTGGATGTTTATACCACTGTTGTGTGGCTAGATGAGTGTGCACAGACAAACTGTTTATGATATCACTGTTGTGTGGCTATATGAGTGTGCACAGACACACTGTTTAATGTATCACTGTTGTGTGGCTAGATGAGTGTGCACAAACTAGCTGTTTATGATATCACTGTTGTGTGGCTAGATGAGTGTACAAACTAGCTGTTTATGATATCACTGTTGTGTGGCTAGATAAGTGTGCAGAGACTAGCTGTTTAAGGTGAGTATCACTGTTGTGTAACTAGATGAGTGTGCACAAACTAGCTGTTTAAGGTGAGTATCACTGTTGTGTTGCTAGATGAGTGTGCAGAGACTAGCTGTTTATGATATCACTGTTGTGTGGCTAGATGAGTGTGCACAGACTAGCTGTTTATGAAATCACTGTTGTGTGGCTAGATGAGTGTGCACAGACTAGCTGTTTATGATATCACTGTTGTGTGGCTAGATGAGTGTGCACAGACTAGCTGTTTATGATATCACTGTTGTGTGGCCAGATGAGTGTGCACAGACTAGCTGTTTATGATATCACTGTTGTGTGGCTAGATGAGTGTGCACAGACTAGCTGTTTATGATATCACTGTTGTGTGGCTAGATGAGTGTGCACAGACTAGCAAGAATTTCTGGAGGACTAACACATGAATGAACAGTTTTTATTGGGTTAATTGTGCCTGGTGCAAATTTCTAAACCAACATCTTTGGGCTGACAGGCAAGCAATTAGCCACTGAGTTACCATAACCACCATCTTGCTTTAGTCATGTTTGTCATACTTTCAGTATTTTCCATTGTTGTATCTTTAAAAAAACAGCCAGAAAAAACCCACTCCCCCTTTAACAAGCATATCATAAAAGTCGACTAATTAGGGGTGTTTCGTTTGAAGTCCTAGTGCATGAGCCCAAATTAATGAATGAATAAATCAAGAATTGACATCAGTGCACATGGGAGGTTACCACACATGCTCCGTCTCCTGTCTCAGTGGACAACGAAGAGTTGATATGCTTAATAGCACCACTTGCAAGCTGATTACAGGTCTGACTGTGTTCCCCTCATTGTTGAAAATCTTCCTGAATATCTGCTCACCCCTGTGAATTAGTCTTTCAGTGTATGGATTCTCTGTAATCTGCCTAAGAGGCGAGGAACCAACAGACTGCATTCAAATAAGCCAGATATGTAAAATGGATATGTATGCAAAACGCAAGTTTGGGACCAAGACCGAAATCTAGCCGTGGACGTCAGCCATAACTTGCCATCGAAGTTAACAGCTGGTAAACACAAAGAAGAAGGTATCTTCAAAAAGATGAATAATAGATATAGCTGGCCAATTGTGCATTATCTTTTACTGTTATATTTGTCTATCATCACAGCTTTTATTGTGGCTGACCCAGTTTTATTGCTGTCTTATCTTCAGACTCTGGATTCTGCCAAACAGAATCTGACAGAGGCCGTCTATTTTCCAGGTGATCCCTTTCCCACGAATGAGACTACTAGAAATGGTATGATAAAAGTTTCCATTGTTTTGTTGTATAAATTTTGTTGTGTTTGTTTATTTTTCTAAATTGTTGTGTGCCTGTGTTGAGTATGTTATGCTGTGTGTGTACTGCTGTGTAAGTTCTGTTCAGTGTGTTATGTATGTTATGTGGTGTATGTTTGTGTGTTGTACTGGTACCATTGTGTAAGTTTTGTTGTGTATGTTATATGGTGTGTGTTCATATTCTATTGTGTTGGCACTACTGTGTGAGTTATGTTATGTGTATGTTCTATAGTTTATGTTGTATATATTCATTGTGGTATGTTTTGTCATGTATGTTTAGTTTAATGTGCTGTGTATAGACTTGTTCCCTCTGGATGTGATTGAGGACTCAACTTTGCCCCTGAGGATAGGCACCTCAGAATACTGATCATATGTTGCAGACATATTCTCTACATGCAGTGGAGAGATGTCACTTCTGGCCTGTTGGCCTTCTTCTGGCAGAAACCAAGCCGTATCGATCTGTGGAGGACATGTACCACACCACAACCTTCATAGAGGACTGTGACCTTCTCATCCAAAACCCTTGAAAAAGAAGAAGAAGAAGATGTGCTTCACGCAAGTGTATTTAATCCAGGAAGTTTTTGAATTATGCAATGTGGACACAATATCCATTAAAAAAATCATCATCCAAAAAGACTAGGCTTCTCATCCATTAGCTAAAGGCCAAGTTTGTTTAAAAACCCATATCCATTCAAGTTATTCACTCATGTACACCTCTTTGGTGAGTTGAGGGCTGTGTTGACATTACAACCTCAAAATAGATTTTTGTGTTAAAAAATGTGTGGATTTCCTATCTATCCCAGTAAAAAGTCGAACATGAATTATCTTTTCATGGGCAGTCTGTCTGTTTGGTTGTTCAGTTTTGTTTTGGATTTCTAGAAACCCCAGAGGGTGTATACTGTGCAGCTGCAGTAGGTTTTGTTTTCAGGGGTTCTAAAATTACATCCACTGTAGTTAGCCATGGGTTCTCAGCCTCACTTGATGGGACCACCTCCTGAAGGATATGACCCTTCATCACCACAGAGGCTTTAGGGTGTACAAGGTTTTGCTAAACAAAGATATTTTTGTAAACCAATCGGCACTCTGTGGGTGATGTGGTCAGGATCAAGCTGGCCATGTTTACTTCCCAAGAGTTTATCATGGGTCGACCTGGTCATTTATGGAAACAAAATCGGAGCTGATGCCGAATCGAACCCAAGTACTTCAGACTGGCCAGCAAGCATCTAGCCACAACGCCATCACAGCTGCCAATTACAGCAAAAACTATTTAATTAACCCTCTTTCAGGCAACTCCCCACACAATTTTCCAAATGGTGAGACCAAGATTTGAGTACCAGTTGTCTGCCCTCGTTATGGTGTAGTTTTTAGGACTCCCTTGCCATCTGCTAGCATGCAAATCTTGAGTCTTGCAGGCTACATTATAAGGGAGACTTTTTAGTCATGCTGTCATTTTTCAGATGGAATACAGATGTGCTGAACCACACATGTTAGTGCACCAAGACCAGGGGCTGACACTAGTCAAAACCTTTCCACAATCCCCACAGCCAACCTTGAATAAAGGTTGCCAAATGGGAGCCTGGACAACAGAGGTGGGATTGATGTTTCTTTCAAAGCCGGCATAAGTACTCCGGCTTTGAAAGAAACATCAATCCCAGTTAGCGCAGTCGATAAGAGGCTGCAACTCGCTGCAGCCCACGGTCAGTGTTCGAAACCGGGCGGTTCCCGGGGTTCACCCAGCCTCTAGGAAATGGGTACCAGAGTTGACACTCTGTGGTAAATAGAGGAACATCGCTGTAGCTACAGAGTTACCTGCGGACAGCGACACAGGTGGACTATTTCTTACCAGCAGTCCGTACTGGTGGCAGAGCACTTATGGTTTATAACCGTGTGCAGTGACGCTGGTTCACATCTCCCGAATTTACCTTTACCTTTACTTATGCCTGACAGGTGAAAACCAATAGTCTGCATACAAATAAACCATATCTGTAAAACAGATATGCACACATCACCCCTGTCCTGAAACAAGACCAAAGCCACTTTCTGCCAGAGTTCACCTGATGAATGCTAAGAAGAATTCCAGACTAATATTTGGTGCAGGTGTCCCTTGTGGAGGTGTGAGACATCCTAGTCAAAATAACATTTTATCCCAAAGACCTGGAGAAAACAGAACCTTTTTGAGCTGCCATTATAAAAAGTTGTCAACTATGATGTCAAATCTTTTGGTATCTCATCCCCAGCTTTATCGAAAGTGCTAGAGAACACAGCCCTGTTCGGAGACATCGCCCTACGCCTGCCAGACGCAGTCCACAGTGTCTATGACAAAGAGAAGGAGTGGCAACAATTGATGACCTGGTCTTACCACTTCTGCAAAGATTCTGGTGTATTTGACGGAACTAATGGGAAACTGCTACATCTTGTAAGCATCATTGTTTTAGTTTCATTCCAATTTATTAAAGGCTTTATGTGTTATAGAATATGTGTTGGCAGCAAACAGCAGCTATAAGAATTAACAACTTTTTATGTACATTTCAGAACATAAAGAGGGGTGTATGACAAGGATGTGACCTGTCACCTGATTTATTTTCACTATACAGTGAATATATAATGAGATCTTTAATTGATTTGCCCGGAATTGTAGTTGGTGGGCACAATATAAACAGTTTGCGTTATGCTGATGACACAGTCTTGATAGCAACAAGTCAGAACTACAGGAAATGATAGGCATTGTGGTGGTAGAAATTGGAAGAATGGGCCTCAGTTTGAATAAGGGAAAGACAGAAGTAATGGTGGTATCATAGAAAAGAATTATTCCTAAATGTGTAATAAAAGTCAATGGCATTATTTTGGTACTAGTACAGAAATTTAAGTATCTGGGCACATGGATAACATCAGATGGAAGATGCATTACTGAGATGAGAAACAGAATAGGACAGGCAAAAACTGCATTTTATAAAATGAAGAAAATCTTATACAATATTGTCATTCAGGGTTAGAAAAATAATTCTTGCTTGCTACATTCATCCAGTTTTAACATTTGGCTGGACAATCGGTAGGCAGATCAAACAATTTCTTGAGGCTTCAGAGGTGTGGTTTTACAGAAGAATACCTTGGACAGCCAAAAAGAGCAACCAAGAGGTTTCGAAAGAGGCGGGAACCCGAAGACAACTAATCACAGACATCAGAAGGAGACAGTCATCATTTTTCGGCCATGTTGTGAAAAGAGGGAAAAATGGACATTTTGTGACCACTGGAATGATCTGTGGAAGGAGTGATAGAGGAAGACAATGAGAAAAGATTCTTGACAGTCTTGTTGCATGGCATGGAGGTGTGTCGGCACACGAACTGATACATGCTGCAGGAGATCGCAGATTGTGGAGAGACATGATAGCCCATGCCAGTCGGCAAGGCACCTGAGGATGATGATGTGTTATTGGTGTCTTTCTGAGAGAGAAGCAGCTGACTGGGCACTGAAGAATGTTGGGATCTTATTTGAGAGACACATTTTTTAATCCTCGGTATGGTGATATATTTTCTTGCATGTCTAGGGCAGAAATAAAATCCTAACCTGTATAGTCCGTGGTGACTGCACTAGCCATGTGGCCCTAAATCCTCAAGATCAAGACCCACTCTGTCTTACACTGCCCCCAAAAAATGGTATAAACAGGCAGTAAAGAAAAACAGTGCTGTATGTTATGTTATCAAAATCAACCTCACTGGACATTGGGCATTTTCCATGGATGCTCAGTCTCATAGGACATTGCGCATTCCCAAGCATGCTCAGTGTCACGGGACATTGGGCATTTTTATGTATGCTCAGTCTCACTGGACATTGGACATTTGTATGTATGCTCAGTCTCACTGGACATTGGGCATTTTTATGTATGCTCAGTCTCACTGGACATTGGGCATTTTTATGTATGCTCAATCTCACTGGACATTGGGCATTTTTATGTATGCTCAGTCTCACTGGACATTGGGCATTTTTATGTATGCTTAGTCTCACTGGACATTGGGCATTTTTATGTATGCTCAGTCTCACTGGACATTGGGCATTTTTATGTATGCTCAGTCTTACTGGACATTGGGCATTTTTATGTATGCTCAGTCTCACTGGACATTGGGCATTTTTATGTATGCTCAGTGTCACGGAACATTGGGCATTTTTATGTATGCTCAGTCTCACTGGACATTGGGCATTTTTATGTATGCTCAGTCTCACTGGACATTATGCATTTTTATGTATGCTCAGTCTCACTGGACATTGGGCATTTTTATGTATGCTCAATCTCACTGGACATTGGGCATTTTTATGTATTCTCAGTCTCACTGGACATTGGGCATTTTTATGTATGCTCAGTCTCACTGGACATTGGGCATTCCCATGTATGCTCAGTCTCACTGGACATTAGGCATTTTTTATGTATGCTCAGTCTCACGAAACATTGGCATTTTTATGTATGCTCAGTCTCACTGGACATTGGGCATTCCCATGTATGCTCAGTCTCACGGGACACTGGGCATTTTTATGTATGCTCAGTCTTACTGGACATTGGGCATTTTTATGTATGCTCAGTCTCACGGGACACTGGGCTTTCTCATGCATGCTCAGTCTCACGGAACATTGGGCTTTCCCATGTATGCTCAGTCTCACGGGACATTGGGCATTCCCATGCATGCTCAGTTCTCTAGTGTAGCAGCTATCCTAGTTTACCCATATGACAACTCTTCTTTCTCCAGCTTGTAGATTTTGCTGCATCATATCTTAGCACAGATGCATAAACTCTGCAGCTTCAAGAAGGATTCATTGCATACTTTAACCCATTGAACCTAAAATTTTAGTCTTGGAGCAGTTTCTATGAACACCAGAAGCCCGTTATTTCAAGCTGTACGGAATCCGATGGAACATGCATCTCAAAGAAAAGTGGCGGAAAGGGGCAAGTTAAAACAGCATTTTATAAAATAAAGATCATCTGTAGTAAATCCCTTTCATTAGAGTTTAGAAAACAAATTCTTTCATTTTATATAGGCATGTTATATGTCGGTGTATTATTGAGAACATTTGTCATGTATTGCCGTTTATTTCTGCCATTTTTTGTTGTAGATGGCACAAGAAGTAAAGATTATACCCAAGGAGGCAAACTATATTAACCCTTTCAAAGAAGCCTACCGACAAGAAATGGTAATTTTCCTGCATTTTCATTCTGTTTTTCCCAATAGGCACTTTCATTCAGTTATATAATGCAGCAGGGTTCACTTCATATTTTGCAAGGATCATATTTTCATTTGCAAGTGAATCAGATGGCACTGAATAGACGCCCATATAAAGGCATCAGTAATATCTCCCAGTTTGATCAAAGAAATTGAACTGATGTCTATGTCGAGGCAGCTCTCAGTTTGATCAAAGAAATTGAACTGATGTCTATGTCGAGGCAGCTCTCAGTTTGATCAAAGAAATTGAACTGATGTCTATGTCGAGGCAGCTCTCAGTTTGATCAAAGAAATTGAACTGATGTCTATGTCGAGGCAGCTCTCAGTTTGATCAAAGAAATTGAACTGATGTCTATGTCGAGGCAGCTCTCAGTTTGATCAAAGAAATTGAACTGATGTCTATGTTGAGGCAGCTCTCAGTTTGATCAAAGAAATTGAACTGATGTCTATGTCGAGGCAGCTCTCAGTTTGATCAAAGAAATTGAACTGATGTCTATGTCGAGGCAGCTCTCAGTTTGATCGAGGAAATTGAACTGATGTCTGTGTCGAGGCAGCTCTCAGTTTGATCAGAGACATTGATCTGATTCTGCACCATTTGCTGGTAAATTGATCCATGAAAAGTTAGATGTTGTCAAGGCGTTTTGGATCGAGTAAACATTGTGGAGGCACAAACAAATCATCACGGTCAGAGGAGAATGGTGCGACAAGCCGTAACTAGGGGATCTGGCCAACACTTAGAGGAATGGCATGGGAGACATACAATCAGACAGCTGCTGGTACCATCACAATTGCAACTTTAGACTGGCTGTTGTAGATAGGGATGGAGTGGTTATGGGAGTGTCCTGAGTGCTGTGGTATTATTTCGTAACTCGACTCAACTCAACTGGTCCACAAAACTTAATATTTCTCTATATATGTTACTAATTTTGATACTACATGAATTTGGTAACTAACATATTTTCAAGATAAATGTATGTTGTCTTTCTTTAAACATTATTTAGGAATATTTGTACCCTATCCTGAAGTTAAAAAATAATAATTGTAAATAAAGTTTAAAAGTAGTTTTTTTTTCGTGGCAGGAAAACCAGAAGCCAAAGAAGATTGAAAAGAAGCCAAAAAAGAAAATAGCACGAGGGCCAAGATTGCGGCACACTGAATTATAGTGTTTGTTTTTACTTTGTTTTAATTCAGCTTGTTTTGACTGGGTTATCCTGAACTTTCATTTGACTGTTATCTCCCTGTTTTATCAGTTTATCTGTTTTATATTTTCTGATAATCTTTCCCAGTATTGTAATATGTTGCCTGATATTACAAACAAATTTAACCAACAAATGACAACTAAAATGAGATTCTTGAGAATCAGCAGATTGAGAATCGAGAAAATCAAAAATAATGAAATCTTAAAATAGTGGGAGTGGACTTCATTAAAAAACAAAAACAGTGATTAGAAAGGATTATCATCACAGCACTCCATAGGTGCTCCGATCTCCTCCTCAAAAGCTCCACAAGTGTAAAATGACTGATGACGCCTATTCTGTGTTGGTTAATGAAACGTCTTGTCCCCTTAGTGAAATGTTCATTTCTTGCAGCTCCAGGCTGCACCCCATGTCCATCAGTCTAGACAGGGATATGGAGTCCTGTCTTGTGGCGTGCTCCTCAATACGGTAAGTGCAGCGCATGGCATTGATAACATCACTTCTGTCCAGTACTGGGCCAGCCATAGCAACTGCAGTGTCAGCAAGATAGTCTGCACGCTCGTTCCCTTGAACACCCGCATTACCTGGCACAAAGATGAAGGTTAGGGCAGATATTCGTGAAGTGCTTGGTGTTTCAATCCATTCTTGCCTGATATATCCAGCTTGGATTTTTTTAAGCATCTTTACTCGATGAATATGCTTAAACAGAAACAGTGAAATAGTTTAGCTATTCAGCTCAGGTGTCAACAGAATGGTAAAACTAAAATGAGCAGTAATGTGAGATCATGTAGGACTTGAAAGAGAAGCTCACTAGGCAACAGTGGACAACATAGAGTAACAGTCCTTGGGAACCACATATTGTTGTTACTTTTATTTTAAAAATTAATCTTTCTTTTCTCCGGACAATAGTGTCATACTTGACTAGAGGGAGGCATGGCATCACAACTGATGGCGAGGTCCCCACGCATTAAAAAAATCTTCCACACTTAGAGAATGGGATTTCAGGCCCATTGTTGTCAAAAACATGTATTTATGGTTTTTTTTTAGATGCACAACGGTTATCTGTCTGCAATCATTTTCTCCTGTATCCCTATTCCCTTCTAGATTTTTCCCTCTCCTTTCAACACAGTCCATGGCATCATGCTTCCATGAATCACTTCAATCACAGAAGGCAACACTTTGTGCCATCACCTTCATCTTTGTCCCAGGATGTGGTGACATGAAAGGCAAACGGTGGGCGGATACCTTTGCAGGTTGCTCTACGCTTTGCAATGAGCCTTCTGTGAACAGTATGGACTCTCCATGTAGGTTCTGTGACCCCATTGTAAGGGAAAACAAGAACAGTCCCACTGTCGCCTTAACACACATGTTGTAAGAGTTGACTAATTAGGGGTTTCTTTGAAACTTTGCCTGAGAGGCAAGAAATCATCAGTCGGCATATAAATACGCCAGATCTGTAAAACAGATGTGCATTCAAAACTCAAGTGCAGGAACAAGACTAAAGTCCAGAAGTGGATGAACAGCCAGAACACTCTGCAGCAGTTTACAGCCCGTGAAACCGAAGAAGAAGAGAATGATCATAATTAGTGCTATACAAGAGGCTATTCATGCTGAAGGCCTCACACATAAGGGTACTGATTTCTCAGGGACCCTGATGCAAAGTCTACATATACCAATGTGAGCACCCTGACGTAAAACCATGCAAGAAGTCGCAGTTGTTAACACTAGTCAGTACAGAATAAAAGTCATCAGCATAAACACACCAAGAAACATGCTTAGGAGAAGATCAGAGCACTTATGGTTGTGCCAAACGTGCAGTAAAGATGATCCTGAAATAAACAAGGACATGCAACACATTGCTGTTGTCCTGGTAATAACTAATGTAGACTGTTGTTTGTCCATCTTTTGATGGAAATCTCCCATTTGTTTATTTTTTTTTTCTGTTTATCACTTAATCACTTGCCTTTAGCTAGTGTGGTTTTGATAAGAATAATATGTCTTTTAATTTTCCAAAATATTTAACTTCTATTAACTGTTTTCATTTCCACTCTTCACACCTGCTGTTTGGGTATATTTCATACTTGAAAAAAAAAAAAACTGCACAAACGCACAGACATATGCGCTCGCGCACAGGCATACACACACAAATACATGTAATTTTTAAGATGCCTAATGAAGTGCTAAAATATTGGTTAAAGGTTTCCCCTCTTAATTTCTCTCACTCCACTTTATTGATTTATTGTATCCTGTTGTTATATTGGCTGTTAAAATGACGTGAAACTAATTTTGGATATTTCCATAATTATTAAACAGCTGTGTTCAGTTTTCATTACATTGTGCTCTCATCTCCTTTACCCTGCCAAAGTTTTTATTGCTTATTTTTGTGTCCTTGCTCAAATGCCTGGTTGTGTTACCATTGAGTGAGTTTTCATAGTTGATGAGACATCTGTATTCTGTTATCTTTACATTCTGTATCACCCCCTTCATGTTGCCAGTTTTATTGATTATAAATCATATAATGAAGACACAAACAATGCATTGCCTAGTTTATTGCCTTGGATATTTCGAGACAGTTCTTGATCGCCTCATGTTTTATGAGTTATAAGACAAAGAAGATGGCAATGTATTAGGCACATCATGAGGGGAAATGGGGGAAGGGGGGGGGGGGGAGAATCACTGATAGGCTCTGAAATGGAAAACACATGTATTGAGAGAATGAGGACATCCTGGAGAAACCATGAAAGGAATGTTGTTGAGAAAGGCCAAAGTTGCCTGACCGGATGCCATTTATGATATTGAAAAGATTGCGCAGATAAGAATAGAATGGAGGACTAGATTGCGAGCCCTATATCACTTAAAACAGCAAAGCAGGATGGTGATGAATTTTTTTGTTGTTGTTGCTGTTTAATGTAAATAATTTTAACTTTTTCAAGCCCTCCAAAAATTGCCCTGTTACTTTCTTGTTATTAATAGGAACAATTTGTGGCACTGTTTTTATTTTGCTGGCAGTAGAAAAGGGGCTTATTATTAAGTCAGAGTTTAAATCAACACACAGCGAAGCACTAAACATGAATTGTTTATTAACGAAATGATTCCCACCTTATAGAACAAACTTGTAGTCTTAGGCTGTCTTAATAAAACTTTTATACAGCTGAACATTAGTTAGTTAGTTGGGTTATCCTCATTGCACTCCGGACATGTCCATAGGTGCTCAGATCCTCCCCTCAGTATGAACCCCAACGTCCGATGGCTAATAGTACCAGTTCTATGTTGATTAACAAGTCTTCTGGCATGTCTGGTCTGCATCTCGTTTTTTGCTGTGCCAATCTTAATTCCCAAG